AGAAATCTCCTTTTAATTTCCAGCTTAAATTTATTCACAGTGATTAGATCCATTTGTTCTGCTGCCAAAATTGGCCTTTAGCTTAAATAGCTCCTCTCCATTCCCAGTGCTTATCTTCTGAGTGCATTTATAGAGAACAATCTTATCTTCTCTCAGCCTTCTTTTTGCCAGGACAAACAAGCCAAGATATTTCATTTGCTTTTGTAAAATGGGTTCTCTATTTCCCCTCAGCATGCTATTAGATCATCTCTGCTCCCATTCCAACCTGAATTTATCTTGCCTGAGCATGAATCTCCAAATTATACTTTATAATCCAGAATATATATACTTTATAAACCAGAATCATGTACACAACATCAATTTTCTCTCTCTCCACTGGTTACAAAACTCATTGTCTGATTCATAGCAAGATATAACGGCTTTCCCCCTGCCACAGTTGCAATATGTTGGCAGTTTGCAATCATCCCATGGCCAGCTATACACCCAGTTCTTTCTCCTCTTCTATTGCTTCCAACTAACAAGCTCAAAGTTCACAGGAGAATTTCCTATTATTATGCGTAACCTTAAACTTGGCGTTATTGATGCTTATCTCATTTCAACTACTCCAGTCCTTAGAACTGCAAGTTCTTCCTGTAAGATATTCCATTTATTTTCCATATCAGTTTTATCTGCCAGCACTACAATGTCTTGAATTTAATAACATTCTCTTATGTTTTCTACTGAGATCATTAATAAAAATGTCAACTAATATGGTGCTGAACAATAGGAATTTCACCAATAACCTAACTCCAAGCCAGTAGTTCAACACTACCCTTTGTAGTCTCCCCATTAGTTCAGTCCTTATCTTCTTTGTCTTCCTGTACAAATTGTCATCTCCATCAGCTGATAACTCCGTAAATGCCCAACACTGACTTTCCTTGTGTAGATTATTTCATTATCATTGTAAGGATCAGCATAGCCAGAACAATTTTTACGCTCTCCTACCTCTGGCAGTGAACAAAGCTTGTACTTCTTGTGTGCCTCTTCTTAATTGCACTACTGTTCATAAGAAGGCAGTTAAAATAATCGTCTGTGTAAAACTCTGCAGAGGAAGGCATCTTTCTGTTCATTCCATCAGTGAATTCCTCCTGCTCCTCCTCCTTTCGACAAAATTTCAGTATTTTCACTAGGAAAGGGCCTCTCCTCTTGAGCTTTGAGCAGCGTGGCTCAACTTTTGAAACTAATGAACATCTGCAAACCCCAGGTAGACTCCATTGCCACATAACAAGTGAACATTTCCCACAACACAAATGCAGGCACTCTCCCTCTCGCTGTGTTTTTTTCCAATGATAGTAGGTGGTCTATTTAAAAGAAGTTACTTCTTCCCTACAAACCACACCTCTCTGAGGTCACCATAGCTAAAACAGCACTACTGACCCACTAACCTGGCTAACCGCGCACTCTCCGTCACCATCTCTATAGCCGATGGTGGAATGTGGCAAGCTCCAGGAGCATGGAGAAGAAATCTCAGATAAAGAGCTCTTTGTCTCTACCTGTCTTTTTTTCTTCTACTGCTCCCACCTCTAAGAGTGACAAAGCAATCTCTTGCACCAGCACTGAGTCTTCTATCAGTACCTTGGCAAATAACTGCAAAGAAAAGGGAAAAGAAAAAGGAAACAGAGAAATCATTTGCATACAGATGACAAAGGTCTTCAAACACTTTAGAAGACCATTCTCCTGTTTCTTTTTCTGGAGTAAATCATGACTGGAGTTGCTTCTGACTTGCAACCCATGCAAGGTCAGAATTGTGCCCACCCTGACCTGTGCTGACCCTTAAAAATCAACTGGTGTTTTGCCACTTGCTTTGAAGGTAAAAACACTGAATCTATAAACCTGGCTTTACTTGAACAACTTAACAAAGTATATTTTATTTATTTTTTATATCTAACACAAAGTGTTTGCCTTTTTTATTAAAATTCAGAAGGCTTTCAGATGTATATATCTTGCTGAAGCAGGGCCTCTGTAACTTGGTTCACTTATTACTAGCTGAGGCCATTCCTCCTCTAAAGAGTGTGCAGATCCCAGCACATGTGCCACTGTACGCATGGTACTCCCAAAATGGGGACAGCAAACTCATACGGTTAGCTAACTCAGCAGAGCTGGACTCCTTTTCTACTGGAATGATGGAAGCCTCCAAAAGAGCAGAAACTTTAGGGAAAAAAAAACCTATCAAAATATGCAGCTTGGTGATGTGGAGAGCTGGAAAGAAGACAGTAGTCCATTGGCTGTTGTGCTGTGGAAGTGGTGGCAGGAGCAGCTCCTGGCTCTGTGTGCAGGAGAAGATGCTCCTTGTCTCTAGCTGTCACAACTTGTACAACTATGCCACCTGCTCACATCAGACAGGATAGATGTGGCCACTGCTATAGTTGAGTGGCTTCACGCTTTACTGCTTATGACCAATGAACCACAGATCATGAGGAAATCTGAACCCAGCCATGCAGTTATTAGTAATAACAGTCTAGATTTCAACACCTGCCATTTGCTACATCTTCACAGCCCCACTGGGGAAAAAAAAGAGTTTTTAAAGAGGACACCCCAAAGCTAAGTGTCAGTTATGCAACTTCATTTCGTCCCTCTTCCCCAATGCGCTACAATGTGCTTTTGTAATTCTATGACTCTGAATGGGTGAGACAGGACAACTCATCTTTATGTGCTTCTTCACAGAGCTGCTACAAGGAGAATAGCATCTTCGCTGTTTCCAAAGAGGACAAGAGAAGAGGCAATAAGCTCAGACTCTAGCAAGGCACATCTGTGCTAGACTTTAAGGAGCACTTGCTAAAGGTGAAGCACTATAATGGACTGCTTGAAAAAGTCTATCACATGATGTGTTTAAGAACAGGACAGCTATTTATCTCATGGGAATAACATAAGTATAGCTGTTCCTGGCTTGGGGTGACCAACCAAGATCTCACAGCTTCCCAGGGATCATTTAGTCTTGTAATTCCAGAATTCGCTTTTCTTTTTATATGGCCTCTCTGATATTTCTACATAGGAAAAGCACCTGTTCCCAGGCTGGCAGCATCTGTACCTCACCCCTGGGTAATTTGTTTATTATGAAGTTGAAAGATGCTTAGGAAGTCAGATGAGGAATAAAAATTCTATCTTGTAAAACTGTCTTTAGTGAAGAGCTGGAAAAACATGAAAGAATGATGTCCAGGGTCACAAAAGGAGCAGTCCAGGAAGGACAGAAACGCTGATTTTAGCACATCAAGTCATAAAGAAAAACAGTATGTGATCATGTAAAGACTGCATCATCATGACTATGCAAAAAGAAACCAAATTAAACCTGCTCTGGCAAAGGTACATTTCCTAAAATTTAAATGCTAGGCTTTTACAACTTTAGTATCTCCTAAACGTTGCCTGCTTGTGTGTGTTTGTCTCATCTGCAGCTTCCGTTGGAGGAAGAGGAGTGGGCAAGAAGTAAACACAATAAACCCCCTCCCCTTCCCCTTTGGCAACAGGAGTGTGGTAACTTTAATATCCATCACAGAACTCTGCCACTGACTTCTAGGATTTAAAATTAAAAAAGCAAAGAATTGTTTGTGATCTGCTCTGGCCGAGAGAGTAGCAGGACACTGCCATTGGATTTGATTGGCAGGAGAAAAATGCTGAATAATTCTTGGGTTTTGCTCTAAGCCAGAGAGGGGAGTATCCTCGGAGGCTGTGCCTCTCTGCCTTTAGTTTGCCTCTATACTTTCTTACCCATCACTGTCTTCACAGTCTCTTCATCTAACCAGTTCCGTCTCCAAACCTCAAACTTTTCAACTTCATCCCCACTCCCTTGATTAGCAAGTCCTGCTATCTCTGGCTTTGGACAGCTGGAGCCAATCTCTTTACCAAACCATTCTCAATCCTTCATCCCCACTCAAGATGTCTTCTTGCCTCAGCCCCAATTTGCAGTGCACTTGTTTCCTCATATCCTTTCCTTCCAAAAGGAAGGAACCCACTGAGTCTTAGCCCTGGTGTCCATCTCCTGGCTTTTCATCTACCTCAATCTTCATTCCCATATACTGGCTGCTATCCTGCTTACTGAGCCAGCTGTATTTTCTCCGCTCTCCTGCCCTTCTCCTGCTCCACTAACAGAGCTGCCATGTCTCCTGTGCGATCTGCTCAGCCACCTTTCTCTGCTGCCTCTGGTGAAGGCAACATGACTGGCAGTGCAGACTAACAGCTCCTCACGCTCACTTCCGATGCTCAGACCCAAATCAAACATGGATGGCTTAGACCAGAGCTATTACTGCATTAGAAAGTTCTGATTTGCCTCAGGTTATAGATATACCAGATAATGTCTTCCTACTGAGCATGTTGGATTACTGTGTTTTAGTTTAGTTGATACTGGCCAAACGTGGCAGGAATGACAGCATAGCATATTACTACCTAATGAACCTTCCCAAACTTGAAATGTATGCTCCAAAGCATAGCTGTATTACAATCTTGTAGAGAAAATAGATAAAATAATTTATTTTTCATTTCTTGCTCTCAGCAACAACTAAGCTGCCTAAATTAAAAAAAAAAAAAATCAACCTGACGGGGACATCCAGCATTGATAATTTAATTCACAATAATTAGCATTTATCAAAATTATAACCAACAAAATTCAGAGTTCTACACCAGGAAATGGTGGACATTACAGTAATAACCGGCTCCATCTATAACAATATTTGCTTTAATGACCAGTCTTTTTTTTTTTTTTTCAGACTGTACACATACACAAACACAAAACTTGGAGACTTACTGTGATCTCACATAGTGAAGTGTGAGTATTTTCTTTCTCATTAAGCTGATTGCTCTTGCTTTATACTGGCATGAAATCAAGAGTTTTATGTTTCTGTGTTCATTTACAGAAAAAAAATGTTGTTTTAAAGATGGATAGAATGGATCTTCACCAATCATAAGCAAATAACTGAATGAAGAATCACATAGATAGAACTTCAACCAGCAAGAGTAAACGAAGTGGCAAGATCACATTCTTGGGTATTCTGCTTTAAAGAGTCATTACCAACGTTAAAATGGAACTTACATCTTTTTCAATCTGAGAGATGTAAAAAGTTTCTGTTTTTCCCATAGTTAGCCACTCATCAACTACTAGCTGAAGTACTTGTTTTTCTAGATTACTTGCTTTACTGACTGTTTTTGGTCTGCAGATACTTAGAATTCCTGGTAGATATACTGAAGAGCTTCTGGGATCAAGGACATCAGACCACAAGAAGGGTGAAACTCCAGCAAATAAATATTCTTCAAAGTAGGACTTAAAAACAACCAAGACAAAGAAAGAATAAATAAGTCTCAAATAAGGCTTTCGTAAATTGTATATATAAAAAAACTTTGCAGTTGCTTAATTTGCAACAATAAATTGCAATGGCTTTAGTGCACATCAGAAATCAATCATCAAATCTGAAAATAGAACAGTGTAATTATGCTGGAACACATCTAAGTAGTCTCATTTGCTAATGAAAACAGAAAATATTTAAAATTCTCTTTTGTTAGTTGACATGTTTTATTAGCCGCATTATCACGTCTATTATGCCTGCCCACTAAAACTGTCTGCACTTGCAAATAAGCCCTCAGACAACCAACACGAAATCAAAATGTGTGTAGGGGGGAGAGTAGGGCCAAGGGGCTTGAGACAGAGGCAAGGAAACCAGAAGGGACCAGAGGCAAGGGGTTCTTGGCTTCTGAGTGTGGATTAGCTGCTGTGTGAAGCCCTGACATAACCCCCAGTGCCGTGCAGCTGCAGGATGGGGAACATGGGGCATGTCTGGACTGCAGAGAACGTGCAGATTCCACGTGTGAAAACTCAGCACTCGCACGTCCAACTGGGCAGTCGTGCGCAAAAGAGTAATAGACTGTGGCCAAAGGGCAGTGGAACTTGTAAAGCCATGTCAGGATATCGATGCAGTGAGCCTAAAGCGAGGCTCACCTTAGTAACTGCTTTCATCATTGCCGTTTAGTAGTCTGTATCAGGGGAATATTAATGTCCCAGTGGACTGCAAGATGCAATTATCGAATCCACTGTCATGGAAGTGCAGCGCGAAGACAGTGGGGGAGGAACTGCTTATGTTCCTTAAATGTTTTTCTGGCTGTCTAAACAGTATGAGACATTTATCTATTGCTCGATTCACCTTGAGACTGTCATTTTTTCAAATAGACTTATTTTCAGGTGCTGGATCCCAAATTTTTTCAATCAATCACAGAAACTAGAACAGAAGGAGTTATTCTCCAGAAAAATAAAACAGTATAATTACCCACCGGCTGGTGTAAAGAGAGCTGAGCTGCTTAGTAATCCCATTATAAGGAAGTCCAAATTCGCCAAGGCCACCTCTCTCACCTTCCCCCCAAATCTTGTCGATGTATTCCTTCTGGGCATCTATCTAAAACTCAGCAATAAACACAAGTGACATCGGCCAACAAAATTCAAACATAGCTAGAAATCAAGGCAAAATCAACTATTCCTTATTCAAACAGAAGCTGCAAAAATTTCTATTTATATATACAAATTTTCAAGTCAGTTATATACATACCCACTCTACATGAATTATTCCTGCTAAAATTAGGTTGAACCTTTTGTATTCCTTCAGAAGAAAATTTGAGCTCTGACAACAGTCCATTTTTATTGCTAGCAATATGGTAGCATTAGTGACATCAGCAGCGTAACAGTAGCCTTTGCACCGAACCCCGAACTTCTGTTTGTGGACTAAAAGCCACATTACAAAGGTTAGCTAATTAAACTTCCCAACTTGCAGCCTCTAAAGTCAAAGCTGGGAGAAAGGAAATATCTTGTGGCAGGACACAGAGGAAAGCTGAGGCAGATTTTTAAACCAGAGGAAAAATATGAGGATCTCAAATGTCATGCTTTAATTGTTAGCACAGGAATTCAGCGCTATCTGAAAGATACTGCTTTTCAAAGTGCACTTTAAAGTACAAACTTTTGTTTATATGCTCTTTAAAGTCTCTTCTCTCTTACTCTAAGCAGGACTAGCTCCTTATCCACTGCATTACAGAAAAAATTATAATTGTATTTAGCTTCCACACCTCTCAAGTACTACTTCTAATTGTCTCAAACAATGGCAAATGTGGCTTCAACATGACATACAAAGCTCTGCAGTCTTTCCAACATTTGATTTCTGATATGGAGGAAATGATAGCTTGCTGCTCTTGAGCTTCAGGCCTTCAATTTACAAAGCATCCATAGACTTAATTTTCAAATTAGCATTGATCCATCTTAACACTGTAAACACACACAGGGTACAATCAAAGTTTCCTATTCTGGATTTCACCTCTGACTTGCCCGAGACAGATATACTCTAAATTCAACCTACTTGCTGGTTTACTATGTCCCTCACCAGTTGGAGGTGAAGTTGCAAACGTCTTTGAAGGTGTTGACAAAATATTCAAGCTTGAGATCAAACTGTGGACGTTTGTGCATGATGTCAGTTATTGTTTGAGCCAAAGCAAATCTTTCCTCTGGATCCAAAGCATGCTGGTAAGCTTCAAAGTAGACATCCAGAAGCTGAAGAGATATTCAGAAGCACATTTAGAAATGTTTATTTATCTAAATATTCATTCTTTGTTGGGAAGAGTTTTCTGAACATGGAGTTTGCTGCCTACATCAAACCGAGAGTGAGTCGGTACGACATCTTGTATCTGGCACAGGATGTTACTGGATGCTTCATCAGAAGGCTCAGAACAGAACATAGAATAAACTGCCCATGGGAGAAATTTCTTCCAAATCTTACATAGTTAACTTTTCTTTTTCCCTCACTGAAGCATGAAGATTTTTTAATTCTACACATTTTTCACTTCAAGAGTAACAAGGCAATGTAATTACTACTTTAAAAATACCTACTTCTTTCCACACCTAATCTATTCTCTGTTTCTTTTCCAGCCCACACACTGGTTTCGTATCTTTGAAAAACTCCATTTCCCCCAACCTGAAAACTGCAGACTCATCCAAGACTCTCCATTATCTCATTTGGCAATGACTGTCACAGTTACTTTACATTTTTTGGAGAAACTCCAAATTAATTGAAGATGTAATTGAAGATGTAATTAGAGATGTACAAAGGCACATGCCCTCTTCAAGCTCCTCTACCAAGAATAACTGTAAAGTTTTATTTAAATAAAAATTTTAATTACACATACCCACAACTTAGGATAGAAAAAGAAATGTGCTAAGCATGACAGCACATGAGCTCTCGAGATGACACTGTAGTACTTTTTTTGTCAGGTGGCAATTAGGGGATTGAAAATGTGAACGTTCAGTGCTCTTGCTTCTGGACAAATCGATCATGTCAATATGAGATGATCTAGATCTGGCTATTTTACATTGACACAGAAGTAGAAAAGCATCCTCGTCACTTTCTGTACTGAGACCAGAAGACTGTGGAAGAAGATGCAGAACGGCTTAGGAGGTATCTCAGCAGCTGAGAATTCAGATTTCAAAAGTCAAGTTTTGTGATTCAGACCTGCCTGACCTGAATTGTTCTGTAGGAAGCTAACACAGTGCTTGAGCAATAGGCCATTAGCAAGTTTTATATTGGCTAAGCTAAGCTGTCTCAGCTGCTGGACAAAGTGCTATTGTTTCTTCATTCAGAAAGAACTCCATCCCAGCTGGAAACAAAGCTAGCGAGACTCACTTCCATTTCATTTCGGCTAAAAGCAAAAGACCTCCAGCAACAGCACAGCTGTACATTTAATCCTGCCTAGTAAGTTGGGTTGTGAGAGCAGTTCCAGAATGTACTCTTTGATGGTTTTGGAAGAGAATCAGTGTATCGTTGCTGTAAAGGTTTCATTCTTTTCTAGTGGGAGTTTTTCTTCAAAAAAGAAAGCATATTTCCTTGTACAGAAGGCCCGTGATAAAAATAAAAGGTAGATTCACAGAGGTAGCATGATCATACAGCAATGGAAAGCAAAGTCTATTGGGATGACAGCAGAAATGTAGTGAACTAGGCAATTAGGCAGTATTTTATACAGCTTTGTAACACAAAGCCTCCCTATGAAAAGGGGAGAGGGGCCTTAGGAGATTTCCTAAACTACATACAACTATTTTAGTTTAAAAGGTTTTTCTATTTAAAGCCTCTTCGATGGTACACAGGAGATTCCCTAACACTCTCTAGCACTCCTGTTTTGAGAGCTGCCCTGGGTTACTCCAGGACTGAGAACAAAGCTTTTCAAGTGTGTGAAGGCAACCTCAATTAGTGCCATTTCTCCCTGCTTCTGAAGTGGACTATCTGCTCTTTTCTGCTTCCCGACACTCATGGCATTGTCCGTGAAGCTGGTGAGTCCCATAGGCAGAAATATGCTGCCAAGCTCCTCTGGGTCACTTCCTCTGAACTTGTCTACTCTTCATCTTTCAACATTGAAGTCTTTGGGCAGAAACCCCGTACGCTTTCATGTCCTGTGGCAAAATACAGACGCATGACTGGATTCAGAGAGCGGAAGGGGAAAACCTGCAGGATATGCAGCAGCCCATGTGAATGGCAAAGCTACAAGTCACTTAATACACATTTTTAGTGTTGGTTGGCTTGTTTGTTGTTTTTTTTAACTCCAAACTTAATCATGGCATTTTTTGCTCAAACAGATTAACTAACAAAGAAGAAACAAATTTATAATATATGCATAATCATATATAGAATCATAGAATCATAGAATG